CCCTCCAATTCCCCCCCCGGCCCAGAGACCCGGCGCCCCTCATTTTATCCCCCCTGCTCATCCCCCCCCCCTCATGTAACGTCGTCAGCGCGCAAAAAAAAAAAAAAAAAAAAAAAAAAAAAAAAAAAAAAAAAAAAAAAAAACATCTCGTCTCAATGCCCGGGCTAGTCCCCCACAAAGCTAACTAACGTCAGGTGCGCCGCAGCAGGTGCGCAAACACCGCCCACAGCGCCTCCAGCCCGGCCGCCCGGTCGCTTGCCTCCAGCACGTCGAACCACCGCGTCCGCCGCATCGCCAGCCGTCGCCACGCCTGCCCATCATCCACTTCTGCTTCTGCGTCTGCGTCTGCCTTGCCGTCCCCCGTCTGCAGCCACCCCAGGTACCGCCCGTGCACCCGCAGCCGCACGATCGCGAAGTGGTGGTTGATCGACGACACCAGGAAGATCTGTCGCCCGCGTCAGCCGTCATCCACACAATCATATTATTATTCTATACACCTACGTCGTCGAACCCCGTGTCGCGTCCCCGCCCGATCCGCCGGTAGTCCATCCGCCGGTCCCACAGGCTCGGCCCCGGCTGCACCAGCTTCCACTGCTCGCTGCGCGTCCGCCGCTTCTTCAACCCCCCCGCCCGCAGTCCCGGTGGCCGCCGTCGCCCCAACCCCGCCGCCCGCCGGTCGTCGCGCTCGTCGCCGCCGCTGACCGTCTCCTGCTGCTCCGGCTCCTCCGCCATGCCGTGGTCCACCGCCCCGCCCCACCGCGGCTCCGTCGTCCACCACTTGCCGGCGCCGGGCTTGGCCTCCACCGCGCCCTCGCGCCCGCGCTCCTGCGCCAGCAGCAGCATCGCCGCCGTCTCGCGCAGCACGTCGCACATCTCGCCGTACCGCCCGCCGCCGTCCCCCCGCCGGAACTGCGTGTCGCCGCGGCACTGCACCAACAGCACCGGCCCTTCCAGCCGCCGCATGCGCGCCGCCTCGCGGTCCCGCGGCACCCGCCCCACCACCACGCTCTGCCGCACCGGAAACAGCAGCCCCTTCACAAACAGCCGCGGAGGAAGCGTCGGGATCGTCGTCTGGCACCCAAACTGCCACGCCACCATCTCCACGAACCCGCGCATCATCTCCTCGCGTATCGAGTCCGGCATGTCCTTCCCCGCTCCGATTCGCCGGCCTTTGTACATCACTCTCGATCCTGCACCCTTGCGCTTCGCCGTCTGGCTCGCTTCGTGGCCGCCGCCCTCGCTATCGATGTCCATGCCATCCACCGCCCGTGGCGCAGGCCGCTCATCAGCATCATTCATCTCGCAATCGGTAGCCATCCTCGTAGGAATAGGTAATTCATCATCGTCGTACTCAGTATACTGATCTAAGCTCGAATCCCAATATTGAGCAACATGTTCTAAGCCACACCAGAACTTCCGTGCGTGGGTCAGCCGTATCTTTTCATGTCCAGGCAGCGGATCTATCCGAGAAAGTGCTCGAAAGGCATCATCGTTGTCGTACAGCAATTCCCGTCGCAGCATCTCATACTTCTCCTTATCGGGGAAAGGGCTGCCGTTGCTCATAAGACTTTTGCCGGCGCCATCCACCTCTGACTGCTCTGGCCATTGGTAAGGAGGTAACGAGCCTAGGCCGTCGAGAAGCTCTGTGGGCGGCACGTTCGTCTCAACCGTCAGGTTGAACGCATTGAAGTATTCGGCGGACACATCTTGCGGCCTCTTCAGTATCGACAGTAAACGGACGAGCTTGTCGCAATCTGGGTCGTCTTCGTAGGAATGAAGCTCTTCCGGCACATACGCTGGGAAATCGAGCGGCGTGGCTGGGGAAGGAGGGGTGCGCTCCTTGTCTGTGTCAATGGCAGGGGACGGAATTGCTAGATACTGATCGATCAGCTACAGCTCAGGTGCTCCAACGGTGCTTATCAGGGCTGACGGGTAGATCCCCAACGGTCACAGCGCGTTTGTGCTCTGACGGTGGAGGTCTGAGCCCATGGGGAGCGGGCTGAACCTAATTTGTTTTTTTGTTTGGCAGTTGGAAGCTTATATGTCTCGTGGAACACGCGCCAAGCATGGCAATGGGCGAGAATCGCATCGCGAGCAAACGGCTGGCTGGGGCAAAGGCATTGAGGGGTGTGTCAAGCAGGAAACAAGGGCCAACCGTCCGTTAAGTCAATGGCAGGGCAGTCTTACCAAGGCCGCCTCCCCAGGAGAACATCGTGACCAGGGAAGCAAGCGAGCGCTAACCACACGGCGCACGGTGGGGAAGCAGGATTGTGTCTGGCGGTACCCGTGGGCTCGAAGGTGGTAGGCAAACGGGGGCAGACGACCGGGCAGGCGTCACGTCGAGCAGTGGGCATTCACCCAACTCGTCGGCAGCGGAGGTATTTCGACAGGAGGGCCTCGTTTGTCTCGTGTGGAGAGGTGATCTCACACCAGATCGTGTCGAGAACCGGCGTGAGGGAAATCCGGCAGGGAAACAAAAAGCAATATGGGAATACGACGGGTTTCACGCACACACGGAGAGCAGATGGAGAGGAGTGCTGCTGGGAAGCTCGGAGGCTGCTTCAATGCGAGTCAAGTTATCAAGCAAGCGGAGAAAGAAACCGAGACAAGAAAGAGAGTGAGAGAGAGGGAGGGAGAGAGGAGAGAGAGGAGACTCCGCAGCAGCAGCAGCAGCAACAGCGGGCGTCGTGCTTGCGGAAGGCGAGTCGCATGGCCAGCGGATCCGCCGTACAATACAGCCCGTATCGAAACCCCGCCTGGTCGCCACTGGCCAATCCGCCGCCGCCCACCCCCGGCCCGCCGGTCACAGCGGCGAATCGCCCCGGACGCCCGCACTAGACCAAACCCGGCCCGCCTGCCCTCCCCCGGAAGCGGTTAGCCCCGCCGCCGCCGCGGGTTCTGCTCGGCCGTGAAGACCAACAAACTGCCGCAACGGGCAAGATGGACGACGCGCGCCGTTGCTGCTAGTGCTGCTGCTGCTGCTGCCGCCAGCCGCTGGGCTTCCCGCCTTGTCGTTTGGCGTGGCGGGCGACGTCTCCGTGTGTCTCGCGTGCGGATGCTGGCAGCCGCCTTCAATGTTTCGACGGGCCGTCTCGACACCACGAACATGTTCTAGGCGTCTTCTCCCGTCTCTGTCTGCCCGGCAGCTGTAGCAGCAGCAGCAGAAGCCATGGCGCCATGGGCTCTGTTTTTATTTCCTTTCTCTCCAGCAATTGCAGGGGAGAGGAAAAAAAAGCTTTCCCACGAAGATCTGATGCCTCCGTGATCTTTTGAATGATATCTGATATGAACACTTACAATGGCTGTACTATGCCCTTCCATCCTGCCCCGATCAGAAGATGCTCGCACCATTGCTTCCGATGAAGAAGCTAGCCTGCGTTTGGCTCTGGTTGTCGCGGGCACAGTCGGTGGCATACTTATTTTCTTCACTCTTTTGACCTGCTACGTCTACGTGCGGCGAGGCCGTGTGCCCATGGCACGCCGGATTCCTGGCTCCAGGAGCACCAGCAAGTCCACTGCGCTGCTTACTTCGGCTTCAAACCTCTTGGGGCGAGCCCCGCTGTGCCGGAGACTGTCGAGCCAGGATACATCGTCGAAAAAGAAGGAAGATACTGGCTTAACGAAGCCATCGCCCAGTGAAATCGCCCCTGCCGTATCCCACACATCTGGAAATACGGACAGCAGCTTTATCCAGCCACATTGCAGACCTCTACAGATTCGCAAGGGCTCCCTGGGGCCCATGCCATACGACTTTCCTCGGCCGCCTCCTCTCTCGTGTCATACTATGGAGTCAGAGACACAGAGCACGCTTTCGAATCAAGTTGATGATTCGATACATGCTATCCAAAGGCAGATCTGTGATCCTACCGACTGCTGCTTCGACATCATCGATCCCCCGTGCTCTTCGCCGCTACCCCCCGCAACTTGCTGCGGAGAGTCAGGCTTTCCGTCAATAGAGTTATTTCACCAAGTTTCTGGTTCAACATTGAGGGAGAGCCTAGACCGACGGTCGCTCCAAAGCGACCCTGTGATCTTTTTTGAGGAGGATCTCGATCGAATCAGCACGCCATCACCGAGCCCATCCCTCGATCCTCTTCAAGAATTTGCATCCGAACATTCAGAGCCGTCGTCCCGACCCACTAAACAAGTCTCGCGGCATGCCCACACCCGAAGCTGCAGCAGCACTGTTATCGTGCTTCCTGGCAGAAGTCCTAGGGCTAGCATCTCCTCTTTACCTCCGCTCCATGCCACAGCCTCTGTCATATCCAGTTGGAGAAAGACCCGTGATCCGGAAGTCGGGATAGCCCCCAATCAGAGAGAAGACGTATCTAGTCTTTTTCAATTTATCGCCAATCTAAACGTAGACGATGAAGTCTATGATGAGGAAAGTTCAATGGAAACTTACAATAACGACCACGTACCGGGTTGATATATGGAGCTCCGCCCAATCTCAAAGCCAATATATGCATCTTGTACTATTCCTATTAAAGAGGTATCTGGACCAATTACAGGAAACATACTACCAAAGAAAGTATAGTTCATATACAATTTTAAACATTTACACGCCAGCAAAAGAAGTAGTAAAAAGGTTATTAGGTTTGGATGTAATAGGCCACTTGAAATTTCATCAACAGATGAAGATTGGACTTTTTATATTTCAAAGATTCAAGGTCTGCTCACTCATAAGTTCATAATCAACGATTTCGCAGGCTTGGTATCACTGAATAGTCCATAAGTGACCTCCCCTTTCTACGCTTTCATAATCTTATTCAAGGCCCCTTTCAACCTTTTTTCCTTTGTGCCTGGTCGAGACGGACGACAAATGGCGGATATATGAATCAAACAGGGTTAGATGCTCATTGCAGAATGTTGGCTTCAATTTTTTTTTCTCCCGATAATCGTCAAAATCAAAATCCCTTGCCATTGACCCATAATGTGTATAAGGAAAAAAAAATTAAAGACAATGAATGATTTAAGCTTCCTCGGTCTCGCCAACAAGAGCATTTCTCTTTGCTGCAATACGCTCCTGTCGTCGCTCGCGGGCAGCCTTTGTCTTGGCACGTTTGGCGTCCATCTCCTCCTTGAGAACACGTTCACGTTGTTTCTCGGCCTTGGCCTTGTGGATCTATTCAAAGTGTTTATTAGCATGTAGTCCGTATAGATGTAGTGAGTGATATGTAAGAAATGTGACTAGGCTAGGTGGCGAATGTGGTATGTCGAAGGAAAGCTAGTAAAAGATACTAAAAGAAAAGGCCACGACATACATGTTCGACGAGAGCCCGCTTGTGCTTGAAGGTGTTACCCTTGCTCAAGTGATACAGCTCGTGGTAGAGGTGCTTGTCGATCTTGCCAGCGGCACGGTATTTGGCGAGAAGACGGCGGAGGACTCGCAGACGACGCATCCACAAAACTTGACTGCAATCGAAAAAACCCATGTCAGTCCCAGCAAGCCAGCCACAATTGCAAAATTCGACATCAGGGCAGCGAATATGTCCCCGCCTTCAAAACTTACGTGGGCATTCTGGCGTCCTTTGTACCCTTTCGTTTACCGAAACCTCGATGTCTGCCGATTTTTCGGGCCTCTGCGAGCTCACGGGCTCTCGCACGCGAGTGCATCGTGACGGGTTTGTGGATGATCAAGCCATCGCTGATGAGTTTCCGGATGGTCTGGCGGGAGTTGGCGGTGGAGATTTCGTTGACTTCGTTGGGGTCGAGCCAGATCTTACGTTGACCGCAGCCGACGACCGCAGCGGCCAGGCGCTTCTGAGTGCGGAGGTTGACCCTGCAAAGAGTAGAAGTGTCAGCCAGACGCCCACTGAATTTCCCCCTTCTTGATATTGCGGTCAAATCGTCGTGAGGAGTATTGCGGCGTGAGCGTTTTGATTCCTTACGGGGAACACTGAGGAAGTGGTTGAGATCAACTCATGGGACTAATAGACTTACATCTTGACGCCGTTGATTTCGATAGCCGAGTTTGTCGATGGATGGTTGTTCGATTCTCGTCGTCAACACCAGCGATGGTGTGGGCGGAGCAAGGTTTGTCGCTGCGGTGACTAAGCACTGTGCTTCTCCTAAGCGAGCCGAACTCCCACAACTTAGGGCTACGCGAGGCTTTGCCGAAAAGGGAAATCTGAACCACGACACCTAAAAGCTGCGGTGGAACGCATCTTTTGGCGCAAATCCTAACGGTAATGTTATGGAGGCAGTTCGGCGAACAACATCAAATAGTTTTTTGAGATAGCACCTATCGACGTATGGGTTTGTATATAGCCTACTCTTCAGAGAACTCCCCCAGATCAACTCTACCAACGCTCCAAAGCTCTCTTTCATCGTCGGCTTCATCGCTAGCTAAATCCAATCCACCAGCACCGCCTTCCGCGTCTCGTCGCTCGCGGGCTTGCGTTGCTAATCGTAAGGCAACGCGCTTAAAGTAGTCCTGCATACTTCGCTTAACTGTCGTCGGTAGATCTGCACCAGGCCCTTGTATATATTTGTCAAAGATAGCATTTCCTGCATCTACCACCTGAAGTAATGTCAAAAACGTAGCTTCTGCACTAAGTTTGATTGGTATAACTGGATCGCGCACGCTGGAAAACACGGGCGGCACCAGCAAAGGAAGATGTGGCCCGACAAGGTCAGGTTCTAATCGGCTAACGGTTCGGAGGACCACTAAAGCCACACGACGTGTGTCAATCGGACCTCCTGGCGGTATCACCGATATCAAAGTTTCGAGAACCACCCTATCTGTCTCGGTATCGCGATCAATATCTGTAGCCAACAGGAATTTACCAGCGGCAAGCACACTATTGCTAGATATAAAAACCTAGATAGAAATTAGGATCATGATCTTCATTACCAGGGCTAATACTAACATCTTTGTGCTTTATTCCTTGACAAATAATGGACAAGGTTTCGTCTGGGAATTTGTCTGATATCGATTTTGGCGACTCTGCTAATATGGAATTCAGAGTAAGGATGGAAAGATGGGTGAAGTTTGTTGAAAGAACTCGGTTTCTATATTCATTAGTAGCGTCCCTCTCAAAGAACAGTAGGAAACAACGTACTTAATCAAAGGAATAGCTGTAGCTTCCGGGAGTGATTTAATAAGTGCACCAATCAGTTGCGCATTATTGATGTTGGATGCATCTGTAGCAAGTCAGCTATGTCGCCGGCTCAAGAAACGCAACATTTCTTACCATCACGGTCGTTTAATTCATTGTCAATTAAATCAAGGATGCTTTGTTTCGATGCATCGTTCATGTTCTGTCCAGCTTTATCAACAGCTTCCTGCAATGCACGAACCATTGCATTTTTGACACCGGTGTCTGGTGTTTTGGCTCCCGCAATAAGCTCTAACGCCATTGTTAGACATACAGTATACTAAGAATCAAAAACCATAGATATCTCATACCAGAAATAAGAGGATCAACTCTTGGTGTCAGTGTGATGAGAATTCCTAAACCTTTTGACGCTCTTGCTCGTAGGGCTTCACTTGTTGAATCTGCCAAACCTCTCGCAAAAATTCTTTGTAGTTGTGGAAGAAAGGGCTTCACGAATTGTGGTATCTTCTCAAGCAGCTTGTTGATAGCAAGGAAGACGGCACCTAAAGATATCAGCTAAAGATAGGTTTACAACAGGGAGAGACCCTACATTTTATTTCAACAGAGCGCTCTGATACAACACGAATCAGCGGACCGGTAATATGAGTCACTGAAGGCCTGAGGGCCTCAGGGCTAGTTCTATCAATCATATCACCGATAGCCAAAGCAGATTGAACCCGTTGCTCGACATTGCCGTTAAGAAGGCCCTGGAGAAATATAGGAAAGATGGCGTTGATTCCTTTGGGTAACGAAAAGCCGGGAAGATTGGCACCTGCTACACCAACTTGTTTGAGGACTTGGCGTGTCGAAATTACCAAACCTTCCATTTCCTCTTTTCGCATATGAGAGGTCAGTTTGCTAAGCGCTTCCCAAGATGCTAATACAACATCTCGGTCAGAGTCGTCAAACGATATCAGACACACACGGATCAATTCTGGGTAGTAACGGGAAATATCGAGAGTGGTATTCATAAAGAACGATGACAAGCGATTCGCTGCAGCTGCACGCTTGCGATGATCTTCATGCTTCATGAGGGTAAGCATTACATTCATGGCTGCGTTCAAGCCATCAAATTCGTCAATAGAAGTGAGGATAGCATCGAATGCATTCTGGATTTCGGGTCTGAGTTTTTCGTTTTTGGCTGAGAGAGAGTTGTCTATCAAAGAATTCAAGATGGTTGGCAATCTTCGGGTGAGAGCGCTACCGGCAACTTCAGCTAGAGAAGCCAATGCTTTAGCATTGAACACGGTCATTGGGCTAGCCAACAAAGTCGGTACAAGATTCGGAAGAATTATGTTGGCACGGGTATAGTCCGTGAGTAGAGTAAGAAGTGCTGCAAGGGCCCGGTCTGCCTCTGTATCTTGGTGTAATAGATTCAGAAGGTCCGGCAAAACTCGATCGACAATACGTTTTCCTAAGGCCTGCTGCAAAGCATCAAAAGCTTCTGCAGCAGCTTCCCGGACGTCTTTATTGGCATCTAGCAATGCAGATCGCACGATAGAAATAAGGCTCCGTTCATAAGACTCAAGGGATTCTAAGGACGAGGAAATAACAAGCTCTCGAAGTGCAATGCAAATGCCTTGTTTTGCATCAGTTTCAGTTGAAGCTAAGAGGCCTGCTTCAAGTGACGGTAAAAGAGTAGAAAGAACACCTTCTCCAGCCTTTTTGATCAATTCTCCTAGAGCGTTCCCAGCAATGACCTTTTGTTCCATGTTTGCGCTACCCAAGCGACGGATAATGAACTGCGTAAGCGTAGGTACCAATTCCTTAAGAGTTCGAGGACTTGCAACCAGGGCTTTCCACACATTGATTGCAGCGCTTCGAACAAGTCCAGAGGTATCGCAACGACAAATGTAAAGTGCTGACAACACTTTATTACGTTTATCTTCACCGAGAACTTCTAGAAGAGATTGCCCGGCTTGAGCAGCAGTGTCGTCCTCTTCTTCAACATCTGCTTGAGCATTAATACCAGTAAGGTTGAATAAAAGATCGCCGACCAATTCAACAGAGCTAAGACGAATGCGATGGCTATCATCTGCTAATCCTCGCTCGAGCTCCGGAAGTAGCAAGTCGATAGATTTTGTGGCAAAATTCTTGACTAGCAAACGACCAGCACGCAGAGACGTTTCTCGTATAGCCTCCACATCATCAGCCAAGCCTGATAAGATCGAAGGAATGATTTTGCTAAGATACGAAGCAAAGCTGTTGCCGAAGCAAGCAGGAAGAAAAATGAATAACGACATAAACCCTTCCCTAACAGCAGCTCTCGAACTAGACACATTCTGTAGTATCGACGGCAATGTCTCTTCAAGTCGAGATGTTCCGAGGCCAGCGAGAACCTCAGAAAGGGCCTGGGCAGAACCCAGGCGATCCCCTGCCCCGGTGTCTGATTTAAGAGTAGTCATTAGACTTGGGATCAAGTCTGGCAATGCATCTTCTCCGAGTTTTTCGATGAGAGACCCAAGTGCTTTGGAAGCCGTGGCACGGGTGGTAGGTACGGGATCAACAATTGCAATCTTGAGGCCGGCAACTAAAATTGGAAGATGAGATGTGAGATCTTTCCTCTCTGTAAGGTGAGCCAAGCTGCCAATAATCTGAGCAGCTTTGCGTTTCGTCGCCGACCGATCTCCTAGTCCCCTTTCTAAAATTCTCACAACAAGAGCCAAGGAAGGTGCATCGAGATAATGAACAAAGGATACCTTAATTAAGGCATCCAACGCTTCATCGGTATATTTTGTAGGATCGCTCAGGGCTTTCAACAGAATATTGACGAGGCCTTTTACTTCCGGATTGCTAATAACGTCACCGAAGCGCTGAAGACTTCTATTGGCAGAATTCCGAACTTCTTTGTGGCTATCATTGAGAACAACAGTAAGGGGCGGAATAATATCCGGGAGGCTTACTGCCAATTGTTGAGGATCCAGATATGCCATGGCTCCGAGGAGGTCACAGGCACCCTTCTTGCTCCTCCACTGTTGATCATCCAACCCTTCCAACAAAGTCGGCAGAATTTGCTTCACCCCATAGGAGCTGAGGCTCGCAAAACATGCTTTGGCAGCATCCAGACAAGCGTCACGAACATCAATGAGGGGATCGCTGAAGCCCACTAGTAATTGAGGAACAATTTGGATGATGTATGGCTCAAAGACTCGGCCTAGTATTGAAGAAAAGAGCTCAAAAGAGAGCAGTGCTCCTTGCCGTTCATTTGGTTCTTTCTTATTTTCGGACGCATCTTTGAGCTGTGACATGATACGAAACTCACGCAAAGAAGATATCCCTTTCCCATGAACAACGCCTGCGAGACCGTACGCTGCTCCTCGCCTTGAGGCGTATTTCTTCGAATGTAGTAGTTGGTCAATCAAGGTTTCAATATAGAATGAGATTTCGGAGGTTGAAAGCCTAATAAGGGGGGACAAACACTCAGAAATCGCAAATTGAACCGTTTCAGATGGAGTAGAGAGTGTGTCGAGAAGTTTTTGGACAACAGTTTGTAGTCGTTTATCATTTGATTCAAGATGACGAGCAAGCGATCCATACAAAATGATCACTGCCTCGTTAAGCCAATCAGATTGCTCTGTAGCTTTGTCAGATAACGCCAATGTAGTCTCAAAAAGCTCCATAAGCTTCTCAACATTCTCTTGTCCGTGCAGAGCTATCACTGCACTCCCACTTTCGGCCATCTGCCTGCGAACAGAAGCATTTTTATCGATTAATGGACCATCGTTGATTAAAAATTGAAAAAACTCAACAACACGATCTCTTTCGAACAATTGAGCCATTGCTTTTAAGGCCAAAGCTATACCGCTCCGGAGTTCCCAGTTATCTGGCGGTTCCATCTTCTTTGGCATCCCGTATGCGTCTGTCTGCGGGGCTTTCGGCGCAATTTCATCTCGATACTTGGTTTCGAGCTTTTGAAGGGCTCCTGTAAAAACTGTTGCACTGACTTCACATGAATGCGCAAGTGCTTCTGCCGCTGCACCCCTTAATTGAGGATCAGCACTGTCAAGGTAATTCATGATAAGGTTTGGAGAGTTTTCATCGACTTCGAGACCGTTCTCTTCCCATATCATCTTGGATAATTCAGCATTTTCAGGTACAAGATCATGACAACTTAACCAGATATATTCAGAGAAATCAAGATCCGTGAGATCCATTTCGGCCTCGACTGCTTGGAGAACGGCACTGCGCACCGAGGTTTCGGGGACAATTGCCCCCTGAAGGAAAATAGTAAGTTCATCCGCATTCACATTTCCCGCTATAGAGCGGCATATATCAGCAAGGAGATCGCGTATTAATTTATAATGCTCTGGATGTAATCGCATCACAGATATGAGTTGTCGCAACGTCTCCGTTCTGGGAAGTCTGGTCTCAGAGACTAAAAGATAAAAAAAATCATTAGTAAGAATACGCAAGAAATACAAACAACCTTTCGACATACATAAGCTAGCATGAATTGAAAGAAACTCAAGGGCAAGAAGAACCTGCTCTCCCTGCGTTTCATCGGCCTCTTCGATTCCATCTCTTTCGAGGACAACGAATATTAGCTGAAGTAGGATTGCAAAGGAAACGCCATCAAATGGTCGCTGCTCGGATATAAGTCGAACACGGTAGAGAATTCGAGTGACAAGGCCTATCAACATCGGATTAGCGACATTTCAAAAGAAAATATTTGCAGAGCGAGAAAACCAACTCCCAAGAGATTCCACTTCAAGGTCAGAGGACAAATAGGTCTTTCCCAAGGAGCGAAGGGTGGCAATGCCAATAAATGGTCGGATTTCCTCCAAACGGCTAGATAACAGATTAGTGCAAGCCACATATGCTTTGGATATACTATCTCCAACTAATGAACCTGCGCCAGCCTTGACAAGAAGGCTCAAAGCATTGACTGCTTGGCTGATCCATCCGTCCGCACCGGTAGAAGGCCCTTTGGCAAGACTTTCGACAATGCCGGCCCCTCGCAAAATAAACTGCTCTTGAGACTGGACAGATTTCCGAATTTCACCTTCTTTGGCAAGTTGTGCATTCACCTTTTTTTGTTCATCTGGAGTTAGCTTCTTTTGTTGCTGACCGCGCTTCCGAGCCATTTCAGTTCGAAGCTCCTGTTCCCATTTGAGGGTGTCATAATCCTTGTCACCTTTCCCTGGTAATCGTGTAGTTTTGGCGGACAGAACATCTATAAAAGTCGAGTCTTCAGGGTGACGCGCAATTTCAATGTCTAGTAAACCAAATCTCGTAAACCTATCAACGTTCAGGTCTGCTTCAAATTGTTTAACAAGTTTCGGTATCATATCATCTGGGGCAACAAAGGCAAGTTCAGCAGCGGCGTTCCACGCTGCAAGCTTCCCCACAGAGAGTTTTGCTCGCGTTTCATCCTGGAAAACCACATCATCAGTTTTGCCAAAGTATTGTATACAATAAAAAACATAACTTACTTCGGTAGCGAGTAACACTTGGCTCATGCACTCAGCAGGGTGGTTCTGTACAAGCTGACCAGGGTCTACGCCGGCCTTTAGAACAACATCTATCCAGTTCACCTTAGGAATTATTTCGGGGCGACATAACACCAGAAGTTCAATTAGGTGCTTGTTAAGTCGCGCGGATTGCGCGCCATTGCTTGATAGCCTCGATAGCGAGGGAACGATAGCTCTAATTGCGAGAAAGAGTCTGTCACCCCCGCTTCCAGAAGCGATAGCAACCGAGTCTTTGTCTCCGACCTCGATTGCAAGAAGCCACTTCCATATAGATTGCCTTATCGTTTCTCCAATCACTTCCGGGTTGCTTAGATAGCTCTGAGTTAGTTGAGCATGTGCAAATTCTCGAGTTTCTGGAGGAGCTGTATTAGATGTAATCATATAGAGAAACGCTTGCGCCCAGGCATCCTTCACAGATGTATCTGCAGCCAAAAAGCTTGGTTCTTCGGACAGTTTAGACAATGCACGAGCACTCCATGTGAGTTCTTCTTTCGAAGCCAGTTTGGCCAGTACCTTGGCATTTAGCAAGAATGAGGGTTTAGGGGCTAGCAACAGTGACTGTCTAATAATCTCGTCTGTATGAACAAGAGCTTTAGCATCATCAAGCTTCACGCCTTTGAGGTTCTGACACGAGAGTGCCAGAAATACGTATGCCATTAAAATTGTTCCACCCTGGGCTGCAGGTAGAGGGTTAGCAACAATCTCATCATAGGAGGCAGAAAATTTATCAACCACAGGGATTAAGAATCCCTTTTTGATGGGTAGAGAGGCAGTTAAGGAGCCACTGTCCAGATTCCAGACCATTTCACCAATAGTAACAATCCAGGTTTTGCGAAAACCACTTCGCTTTTCACCGCAACCTTTCACAATAGCAGCGAAAATATCCACACCAATGGTACACCCAGCACGTATCAAGTAGGTTAGATGATGCACAAAGCTCTTTAGTTCAACATCAAGTGCAGGCTCATTGCTTTCACGAGACAATGCTGGCAAGAGATCAGATACTACTGCCTGGGATATTTCTTCAGAGCAAGGAAAAGTGGTTAAAATTTGTGCTTGCAGTGTACGGTGTTCCGCATTGCTGATCTTTAGAGTTTTCAAAGGCTGAAGAACCTCATGGAGTATCTTAAGAAGACAGTTGTTGTCATTGCATCTGGAAATCACGGCTTCAAATGCCTTCACGGCACCCTGTCTAGTGGCCTGAACAGAGGACTTAAGACTCGCAAGAATTGGTTTCGCCAGTCGTGATAGCAATATATCGGACAAATCAACCTGTGGCGGGATCGCAGATACTAGAGAGGGAATAATGCCCGTAAAGACCACCTCCGGACTTCTAAGTGTTGCCTTTTCGAGCGACGGCCAGATTTCTCTATTAAGATCTTCCACGGTTGCAAATTCCATAAAAAAATCATGTAAGCCGTCCACGATGTGGATGGGAACCATTATACGAGAGCCCAAAATGTCTTTTATGAAAAAACGAAAAACACTGTCTTTCACCTCCTCCATGACAGGCCGCCTGTTAGGAAGTCGTGCACAAACGCCAGATATAACTCCAAGAAAAGGTGCATTCCGAAAACCTGAACTCGAATCGCTGGTAAGCTGGTCAACCAGGCGACGCACAACCTCGTTGCCATTCTCCTCTTTTAGGATAACTCGCAACGCTCTCCTAGACACAATTATGGCAGAGTGTTTCAAGCCTTCTCGTTTAGATGAGCGGAGGCACGTTTCAAGTGCTTTTGAATGAGCGGACAAGGTATTTATAGCTAAGTGTGTTGCGTCTTCAAGGTTCTCTGCACCGCGTTGACCTAGGTGCTGTAAAAGCAAATGACACCATTCGATGAGGACGAACGCATTTGTAGCAGCAATAGTTGGTTTGCAGCATTCATTTTGAAGTTTAACCGCAAATTCTTTCAAGTCAATGGACGATATGGGAGCGCGAAAGATATCTTGAATGCATCGTTGCGCGTCTCGGCGGGAGTCCCGATCAACGTATACCGGGTAGGTTCCAAAAAGAAGATCTAGAAGAGGCCTATGCAATTCCTTAGGCAGGTCGCGTGCTTCTCAGACAATCAGAAAAATAACGGCTAAGTCCAATCAACGCATAGTAGGCTTACAGAGGATTTTCTCATGAAGTTCATGGAGAGCGGCGCGGCGGCGGGATGTTGAGCTGGAGAAAATGGTGGCCTTCAAGGAGTCGAGCGCGCCATCCTTGACATCATTCCACTCGAATTCATCCATGCTTGCATGTCCCTCACACATGCCATAGCATGGAACGATAAAGATGCGGCGTGGTGGAGCTGTGGTTTTTTGGTTGTTAGTTTCGAAAGCCGATGACTGTGAATTTTAGGTCTGGATTTAACGAGCATCCCAGCGTCCTGGCGTTGACAAGCAAAGCTACATAAATACCAGCTCAGACCAATCCATGCTTACATTTTAATTCTTTCTTGTGCTTACCAAAGGCATCCTTATCTGATATTTTGCCTGCGGTTTATTCATTTACTCACCCAGCAGCACCCACTCACTGTTGACCTCTACCTACTTATAATCGCCCCGCACTACCATCCATTTATGGCACCAAATCGCAAGAAGAAGCCTATTTCAAACCCAGCGAGAGGATTCACAACTGTGTCAATCCCCTCTAAAACCAAAAATATAAATGCCACGGAACCAGTAGATGGGGGGCGTTCCACTGAAGCCGTTGTACACAAGGAACCCGCAGCACATCTCGAAACTGATGTAAATGAAGTTTCTGAATCCAAAACTGCACTCAAGGAACTGTCATCAGAAGACCTTGAAAGGCACTTTGAAGCTGCCGAGTTACAGTCTATTCTGGATAAGCATGGAGCAAGATGCAAAAGCGAAGCCTCTCGTCAAGCTGGGAAACTCGAGACTGAACGTCGGACATTCCGTGCGCAAGGTACAACCTTCAATTTACATGAATGGTTGTCTCCAGATATCCGCACTTTCATTCTTGAAAAGCAGACTAAGGACTTCAAAAAGCTAGCATCCTATTTCAATAAACGAGATGAGCGTGCCACTAACATGGTCGGTGAGGATGACCTATGTGTAGACTTGTGGACGTTAAGCCAAACTCTACTTAAGCTGGGATTTCCTGAATCCAAGGTGAATGAAGCTTTAAGATGCATTCTTATGCATTACTCTAATGAGTCTATACCACTGGACCAAGCTCTGGAATGGCTAGCATTGCATATCGCTGAAGATGAGCTGCCTGCCTATGAACAGCCAAAGTCTATGATTAGACTAGATAATCAGGACGGTGCGGATAGACTCAAAAGTCCGAAATTATGACTTTTACTAACAACAAATAGCTGAATTGGAATCAACGTTCTTCTGTTCGGGCACCAGTACACCCGTACTGAAGCCAGGAAAAGAGCTGGAGGCCTTTCAAGCTGACGCCCTCTCAGACTCTTCTGATAGTTATCTTGACCCTGACTCTTTGATACCTCGATATCTAGAACTTCGATCACGTATTTATGCGTTGGATCCAACCTTTTTCAACCATTCTAAACCGACCACCAAAAAAACAGTGCCCAGCGTTGCAGATAGTGCCACAGTTGATCGAAAAATAGGGAGGCTAAAGAAGAAACTTGTAGTAATTGAAAACGATATATTGTTTGATCCCGAACAGGCAGACTCACAATGGAAGAAAATTTTGACAGATTTGCGCGCCAGAACCTCACAGAAGCTGCGCCAAAATGTGGAATCTCTTCAAACTACTCGAAAATTGCTGCACGATGAGAATAAAGGTAATTTGGCCATTAACGATCACCAAGGCGTCACTGTATCGTCGGCATTGTTAGAGAGTGAAAACGAGGAAGAAGGCATACTTGAAGCCATGTTCGGCGCTGAGCCGGATTCCCAGACTCCTATCACTGCCGATACTTCTGAGACAAAGAGCGAAGTTGTCAAAATACGAGATTTTGGTAAACTTCCAGGTCTAAATCCCCGCCGTATTCTAGAAGAAACCTGCAAAACGAGGTGAACCCTTCCTAGCCTGTGTCTCTATACTTATAGCTGAGTATTATACAGAGATCCTGAATATAAAATAGCATATTTGGATGTTGTATCCGCACCTCGGTCCCATCGCAAGAGCATTGAGATACTCTGGTCGAAACTCCAGGATCCTTTACCTCACTTTCCGTTGGCTGGCTTATCCTACAACTCAAATTCTCGTCTCACCAAAATTTCGATGGTTTCTTTGAGTGCATCAACAGCACTACAGGCTGAATCTTATATTTCTGTTGTTGCCCTATTCTTGATTACTGCCAGCTCACAAAGGGAAAATAAGGCGCCAATAAGATTACAGGGAGTGTGGAGAGATGTATGGGAAGAACTAGTCAACGCACGAAAGGAGAACGAAGATATCCAAGACAGAGAAGCGGTCAAGAATATACGAAATCTATTACAGCAAACGAAAAGCCTAGCCGACGAAGATATTGTATTAACCGAAAATTTTAAGCAACGGAATGGACTCGGAACACCGCTATCGGAAAAAAACCTACAATATTTCAATAGTCCCCCTTCCTCGGAGTACTACCAAGCGCTCTGGACAGATCGATCTTCAACAGCAGCATACAAACAAATGCAGGTTACCCGGATGACGCTGCCTATATGGCAATTTAAACCCCAAATTCTTGAGACACTGGAAAAAAACCGAACTCTTATTATATGTAGCGAGACAGGAAGCGGGAAAAGTACTCAGATTCCTTCCTTCATTCTTGAAAACGAATTGCTCTTTGGAAGGTCGTGCAAGGTCTACGTTACCGAGCCTCGACGAATTTCCGCTATATCTCTGGCAAAACGAGTAAGTGAAGAACTTGGCGAAGGTAAGGATGCCATTGGAACAAGTCGTTCACTTGTTGGATATTCAATAAGGCTAGAAAGCAAGATTTCAATATCAACTAGGCTGGTTTTTGCGTAAGTGCAGTGCTACCTGTTTCCCCTTATTCTACTATGTACTGAGGTGTTTCTGTAGGACTACAGGGGTTGTTATCAGAATGGTAGAACGACCTCAAGAGTTTAGTGAAATTACTCACCTTGTCTTGGATGAAGTTCATGAGCGAACACTTGATACTGACTTTTTATTGATTATCCTTCGGCGCTTATTGCATCAACGGAGCAATTTAAAACTGATACTCATGTCTGCAACTGTCGATGCCAAGCGGTTCTCTACGTACCTAGGTGGTGCACCAATTTTGGATATCCCAGGCCGAACTTTCCCAGTTCAGACCAAATATTTAGAGGATGCCATCGAAATAACAAAACATTACTCCCATGGGGAGTCTACAGATCTTACCGATGAGAGTGACTCTTCGAGTGACGAGAAATCGGAGCCAGATGAAGGACTACGGTCGACATTATCTGGATACAATAAACAAACCCGGGATGCAGTCTGTTCTTTCCATGAGGGCCGCATTAATTACCAGCTAATCATGAACCTTATCTTCACCATCGCAACAAAACCGAATCTTATACCATTTAGCAATGCAATGCTCGTGTTTATGCCTGGGTTTGCGGAAATTCGCAAACTTCATGATTTATTACTTTCGGATTCTTTTTTCGGGGAGGGATGGATAGTGCATGCCTTGCATTCTTCAATTGCCACTGAAGATCAAGAGAAGGCTTTCTTGGTTCCGCCAAAGGGAATAAGAAAAATCGTCATTGCAACCAACATTGCTGAAACTGGCAAGTAAAGTAAAAATATTATTATTTCCTTTGCTAACTTAACTTAGGGATCACAATACCTGATGTAACTGCAGTCTTAGATACTGGGAAAGAAAAGGTCATGCGGTGAGTGACAGTCCTTAGCACATACATACATACAACCAACATTCTTCTGATAATTGACAGGTTTGATGAGCGACGACAAGTATCTAAGCTTGTTGAAATGTTCATATCTCGGGCAAATGCAAAACAGCGACGAGGTAGAGCTGGCAGAGTTCAACAAGGCATATGTTTTCACCTTTTCACAAAATATCGTCACGATAAGCTGGTTTGTCACTACTTTTCTGAACAGACTTTAGCTAGAGCTGACTTTTTCCCAGCTAGCAGAACAGCAGACCCCGGAAATGCTGCGCCTTTCTCTTCAGGATTTGATTCTCCGGGTAAAAATATGCAATCTAGGTGATATTGAGGACACACTGTCGGAAGCTCCAGATCCTCCATCTTCCAGAAATATACGACGAGCCATTGAGGCTTTGAAAGCTGTTAAAGCACTGACTGGCGCAGAGATGCTAACACCTCTCGGCAGACAACTTGCTCAATTGCCATTGGACGTATTTTTAGGCAAACTAATTTTGTACGGCAGCGTTTTTAGGTGTGTCGACGCGGCTGTTAGCATCGCAGCAATTTTATCTTCTAAATCCCCATTCGTCCACACTGCTACTTCGAGTGTCCAAACAAGAGCTGCCAAACATGCATTTCAACGTGGTAAGTGTTTTGTCTGCTACTCTATTGGGAAATTCTATTCAAAATTCTTATCTATTCTAGGGAACTCTGATCTGCTCTCCGTTTACAATGCCTACCGCGCTTGGAAAAAGTATCGCGACACACCAGGGATGAATGAGTTCAGCTTCTGTCGAAAGAATTGCTTAAGCCCTCAGGCCCTGCTGAGTATTGAGGACGTTAAAACACAACTATTGGTCTCCTTAGTTGATACGGGCCTTGTCAGGCTAGATGCCTCTGAGCAGTCTTCTCTAAAAAGGTTCGTGTATAACTTTCTTGCCAAAATGCTATTTTACTAATTATCACCGTAGAGCGCGATTTTCTGGGCGCAAACGTCAGTTTTTCATCGTACCACAGCGACTAGATATCAACAGTGACAACGATTTGGTTGTGAACTCAGTAATTGCATGGAGCTTCTATCCCAGACTCCTTACTCGGCAAGGCAAAGGATGGCGAAATATATCGAATAATCAATCAGTTGTTCTCCATTCAACGTCGGTGAATAAAACGGCAGGGCCTGTGATCAAATGGCTATCTTATTATCATATCATGCAATCACAGAATAGAAATTACAATGCGCATGAGACTAGTGCTGTGGATGAATTCTCCATTGCACTGCTTTGTGGTGACGTTGAATTTAAGGTCAGTCCTATCAAGCCTCCCAGAACCTATCGCTAACCACAGTCCTTTTACTTGGAATAGTTATACTCCGGTGTTATTTCAATCGATGGTAGTCGTATCAGACTTTCGGTTAAGGATTGGAAATCAATGGCCGCACTGAAGGCACTGAGCACGAACATGAGAGACATTCTAGCCCAAAAATTTCGAACGCCCAAAAAGGAGTTAACAGTTGACCAGAAGGAATGGCTTGACCTTTGGCAGCTGGTATTCGCTCAGCAGAAGGAGAAACGAGACGAGACAGCCCAACGCACAAACAGTCGCCTTTTCTGAGCGCATTCGTTGGTCTAGCACCTTTCGACCCGCCTCGCTAAATCCCTACAGATTTCAATTGCTCAATAGAAATAAGAAACCCCATTACTGGATCCACAAGAAGCCTTGATCGTCTTAAGGTTTGATAGTTATGCTACTGTTAGGGCGGGACTTAACGCATCTAAGTAGCGGAGTATCAAATCAAAGTTGAGACGTTTATTCTCCTGTCATAAGGGAAGCTGCTAACTCATTCATTCGACTTTGAATAGTTCGTAGTCAGGGAGGGGATCGAGTTGGTTTGCAATGTGTCAGTCTGACTAGTTAACTAGCGGAAGCCCGCCTCCCCAGTTTCAATTGGATGGATCCTTTCAGTAAATTTTGCGAGCAATGATGAGCAGATTATTTCAAGCAAAAGATAATAAAGCGGCAGATTTGTACAACACTTAGCGCCAAATTCTAGCCGTCCCTTAGCCAGCGACATTTCAAGTTTATTGTTGGCATGTACGGAGTATGTGCTACGTTCTCCAGACACTTGGTAGGTAAAATATCTGGAGATCTACCTTTGTTTCTCCGCCGTGCCTGCAGTATGCATAGTGTATAGCCAGCATCCTTAAATACACTTTTTGCCTTTGTTGTTACTGATTTGTGTCCTGCACCTGGTCAAGCAACAAAGAGCGGAGATTGATCATCACTATTGTGGCACAGCACTCAGCTTTTCAGGCTTCACTGCCACTTGCGTGACTCAAAACAAACGCAGGACCCAACCATAGAGTACATCAAGAAAGATATATGTATATACCCAGCCAACCTTTTACTAGGCTAATTTAGTTCTGAGTAACCATGGACAGGGTCTCTTGGACACTTCTTTGTGTTTCAGTGATGATGAGCAGACCTTCGGGATATGTTACATATCTGTTTGCTTGGAGAAAGGAAGCCCCCAAATATTGTTGGCCAAAATTGCGATAGTTTTTCGTTGATCTCTTGTTCATTGTGACATGGCTGCCTTTGGAAGCATGGATTGGAGGTGTAGTCTGGTATTCTGTAAGGAGTACATATGTAGGCGTTCTGCTTTTATTAATCTACGGAGTGCCCATATGCATAGCGCTTGTTGAAACTGCTCGTTTTCTAGCGGGTCCCTGTTGTAGGCTCATGATAGAAAATACTCCTATGCGGTTGGATGAGCGAACTGCATCTCAGCCTGTAGCTCTCGTGTGTCCCCGGGCCGGGCATGTATTCATCGTATAATGCATGGCTCCATCAGTATGGGTAATCGTCGTACTCGCATAGAGAAAAGACCAGAAAATTATGCATGTACTTCGTACATACATACCTCTTGCCAAACAAGGCATTAACCACGAACTACCCAGAGCGAAGCTCAGGTTGAAACCTGTACTCCGTGCGGAGTAGCTCTCTGGATTAGACAAGGAAGAGAATCATCACGTAGCACATCCAACATTTCGCAATTTTGCATTTTCTTTGTTGAAGTACTGTACAAACATACTGTACATACCTGTTACATCGTGCTACGTGGCATCCTTTTAGCTGTGTATCCCAAAAACGAAATTCTTCCTGCTCACCGGGTTAGAAAATTTATCGAACCGTGTTTGCACAATAACAACATGGTATGTGCTGAGGGTAATCCAGTATAGAGCTTGTTTGATTGGTAATCCCGGGTCTGTCGTTCGCTCGGGAAGCAAACGAGATAAATAGTATGATGAAAGCATCAGCAAAAAGACTACATGGTATGGCCTGAGCATTTAATAGGCCATTCAAAAGATAGCGCCCAAAGAATTTGACGGAATCTATTCTTGAACCGAGAGAATCCGGTTTATCCACGGCACATTCGGGTCGGCTGGCAGTCGATCAATCGATAATTGAAGGCCACCTCAAGGGTACAACAGCATTCACTGACTAAAAATGCAAGGCAGACTTGCTAACCCGTCTTCTCACGACAAGGTATCGGCTCAGCGATTTTTGAGTTATATCAAATTTGAAAGTGAGGTAGACCAGCTTCTGCGCCCTTGCATTGTCGTATACACTGGGCTGGTGAAACCAATTATATTTCTTATAAGGTGGCACACGGTGTAAGTACACAACTTCGCGGCAGTAGTGCAATTTTCTGTCATTGAAAACGAAAGAAGGCTGAGAAATATGTCTGCAAGCCCGCTTAAGAATCCCTGTCAGGGCTGTATTTTGAAATCAAGTAGAAGGCTTAATGTTTGACATCTTGATTGGCGCTGTATTAACATATGCTCGTTTTGTACCCAGATACAAGCAAATATCACAACAAGAAAGAGAACAGTCACTTGTTGTATTGCTGTACGTAGTACAAAGTAGGGCTGATGGAATGACCGTAATACGAGTAGGCATTTAAATTTGAAAAGACGAAGCAACCAGGGGCGTTCTATTGGCATAACAAAATGGCACAAGGTTGTAATTTACGTGCTTGTAGGTTTGGACTCCGTCGACCGAGAGAGAGGAAAAGGCATGCAATTGGGTACGTGTGCAGTGCGCTTTTCTGGATGCCAGCGAGTAGCCGTAAGGAAAAACGCGAGTAGAAGCGGACTTCCTCTTGCTTCTTAATTGGAGTTGGTCCGCGCTCGGTGTAAACCTCAAGCAATAGGCTAAAAGAACACCACATATATCAATCAGAATTTCAGTGCAGCCTTTGCTTATTCTGCGCAACATTAGCCGTTTTCAACCAAGTGTCATGGAGGTACAAAAGGGTCAAATTTGGTGCCCAAGTGCCCGACTTAAGGGTAAATCCGCAGCATTAACAAATGTGCCACTTATAGTTGTGTCACAGTCTCTCATCGCTGAATCACGCACATCATCCCGCTTCTGAGAAGTAGCACTAGCGGCTGCCTTCATCAAATAAAAGCGCAAAACCACGTTTAGAAAGATACTGCCTTGGACACGAAAGAGAGAAAAGCAGTACGAAGTACGGACAACAAAGTGCCAGCAAATGTGCTTTTGTCGCCCAGGCATCCAATAGAAGAGCTCGACGGCAGTTCAGGCTAGAAGCAATCAGGGCGGCATGGATCATCTCGGAGCTTGTCAACACTTGCATATGCAACAACGGGTGGATGCAGGTGAAACCGCTATGACCACAGACTAAAGGTTCCACAGACAGTCTGATTCTTGAGAAGGGTGACGATGATGATGACTCTTTGGCCAAAAAAGAGCCAACTGGAGGTCGCGTAGACAAGAAAAACAGGGATCGATTACTTCGTATCCGCAAGTTTGTTAATAATCATTATTCTCACTATAACCAGCCCCAGGATGAGCGAGTAAGGAGCAGGAAACGGCTATTTTGATGATCACCGGTGCGCTTCCTTATACAGAGGATGAGAGTTTCACTCTCCGTCGAAAGATAATTTCGGAAAAACAGGCGTGTTTTCATGCGCGCGATCTCATGGCAGCGGAGGTGTTCGTCAACGGCGAACGAGGATACAGGGGGCAATTCAACCCTGCAGTCGCTTTGGCGGCGCATTAGCTTCGGATAGGGAGCCGGGATTTGAACAACCCTTGACGGGGCAGGATGAGGGGCACGATAGAGGGAGAAATACATACACCGCGCATCCCTCCAGAGCGGCCTCCAAGTGGCCCCTCACGACTCCGTATTGCTGTCACTTTCCCCAGCCGGCTCCTGGCTGAGCCATTCCGGCTGGCGGGGTGAAGCCGGTCAGCTGCGACAGCGAGCAAGCCCAAATGGCCAGCGCTCGCGACACTGGCATGATTGGTGGTCAACGGAGAGAGGGTGACTTGAGAGGGATGGCTGGGAGCTTGGCGGCCATGGATCTTTCGACGGCGTCTGTTTTGGCCTGAGATACGTGGCTGTTGCATCCACCAGTCAATTCATTTGCTTTTTTTCTTCTCCATTTTGCGACTGCTTGGTGTGTGGCCCGTCTCTGATTCGCCAACGAAGGCCCTTCTTCTCTTTGTTACGTCGGAGGATACGAATAAGAAAACCTTACGGCAGGTTCAGTTCGACCTTTTCTCAAATCCCACACGCCGCTGGTGGAACTACGACTCTCTGGAAGTCGACCTGATCAATCGCATCGCCCCATCGCGCCGCCTTTTTGCGTCTAAACACCTGCAAGGGTACAGATGCTCGGAGGCGGCGTCACGAAATCTTATCCTGGCCACGTAGCACAAAGTTGATGGTCACAGCTCATGAAGGCGTCTGGGCGGTAAAGGGCCTGGACCCGTCCTTGTCCTTCCAGATCTCTTTTTGAATGGATGCCAGGAGCGCCAGAAACCTGCGGTGTGCTCGAGTAGCAGGAATTTGTCCCCAACAACATGCCCCGGTACCTCAGTAGGTGGCATTTCGGAATCAGCGAGCGGCGGGCGCCGCCGTCATCCTCCTGGATCCCTGTCCCGTCGTCCTCTTGACACGGACTGCGGATGAGCGCCCGCCAAGCAAGAAACCCTGGTAGTTGGCTAACCGTCTGCGTTGTCAATCCAAAGAGGCCATTAATTCCATCGTTGAAAATCCTGGACGGGTGAGGAATATCACCGATCCACATGCCTGTCAAGGTGCCATCTCACGCAAGAAAGAGAAGAAAAAGAGGGTCTGAAAAGTTGTCACGGCTGAATTTTGCTCTCAGCGCACAATCATTTCCACAGCGGGGTTTAATTTTGGTTGATACTCGAAGCCTTCGGTTCTCGAAATTCCCCGCCCCCATCTCGTGAGCCTGCAATGCAAATCTTCGCCAACGCCCGAAAACCCACACCTTCCGGCGCGTGCATCTGCTGCGGAGATGTCTAGGCTCGACTTCAGCGCATTTTCTGCTTGTGACTTCATTCTTTCGCGTCCTGCATATTTGGCGATGTTACTGAGTCAGTTAGTTGCGTACGCTTGGATCCGGATCCCACATCTAACTAGGTATTTGTATTTAGCTTTTCTCACCTGTCTATGAATATCAGTCCAGGTTTTGCGAAACGGGGCGAAAATAACAAAAAAACCCACAGGAATATCTCATTTGTGCCAGAGCCATGTTGCAGGCTTGGAACCTTCG